GTCGGTCGGTCGGTTGGTCGGTCGGTTGGTTGCGTCGGTGGTTGTGTTCCCCAGCTTGTCGAAAATCCTGGTCCCACCGAGGAATCCGGGCTCGAGTTTTGAGCTGCTAGCCTAAGTCATGAACCCTTCTGCGAAGTGGAAGATAAAGGCATCTCGGGTGGAGGAGGATACGGTGGACCCTCTCCTGACCAGCGCCCTGTCCCGCGAAGAGTGGGATCAAGTGGGCCAGCTCATGGAGAAGTTTGTGCCGCCTTACACTGCCCCACAAGGGCAGTGGAGCTCGAGGTTGCCGCTCAACCACGGGCAGCGTCACAAGCAGGAGTTTTGCCTGCTTTGCGAGAAAGGAGCTACGGCTGGGCATCTCGCAACAGAGAGCCACAGCAAAGCAATGGCTGGTTGGGAACGAAGGGACCGTCCACAGCTGATAATCTCTCCGCAGAGATTCTCCGACAACGAACGCCTTCAGATGTGCCTTCAAGGATATCTTCCCCGATTCTCAGACGAGCAGTTTCGAGTGGTGATGGAGCGGGTGCTCCAAACAGAATGGTACCAAAGCCAGGGAAGCTACCAGGGCCCAGTGCCACTCGAGTCGTTGACGGTTCCAGGTGGAATCTGCCGCCACCTACCAAGGAGAAGGCCGCATCCTCAGCGGCGCCGGTTGTGAAGGAGAAGGCCGCATCCTCAGCGACGCCGGTTGCGAAGGAGAAGGCTACATGATTAGCGACACCCGTTGCGAAGGAGAAGGCCACAGCCGAAAGGGCGATATCTGCGGGGCCGACCTTGGAAAGGCCGAAGAAGCGCTTGTGGCAGCGCCCATGGCCCGATACTATCGGGGTGGCACGGAGAAGTACAGCTGCGCTAGAGGGCGCCAGGCCCTTGGGGCCCTTGGTACCACAAGCTCGCCACAAGTTCTGAGCAGTTCGGACGAGGAGGAGCGACGGGGACACTGGGTCTCACAGCCGTCTTGGGTTCCGTCGCGCCAGCCGGTTACCCCTCCGAAAGGCCCGGGGTCAATGGCACCGAAGACGCCCCCGAAAGCGGTGGCATCTTCCCCGAAAGCAGCGGCATCTTCTTCAAAGGCAGTGTCTTCTCCAAAGGCAGTGGCACCTCTTCCGCGCCCAGCATCAGCGCCGCCTACGCCTACGGCGCCACTACCTCCTCCAGCAGAGGGCCCTTATCAGTGGGTGCCAATGGACTCAGCGCCCTCGCAGGGCAGTATTGCCGGCGCCGCCACCGCCACCAGGCGCCACGCTACTGCCAGGCTTCGGGCTTATCCTCCAGCCTCCTCAGGTACCAGCGCAAGGACCACCGAGATCACCGAGCCCAAGCACGCCTCCGCCAGTGC